GGTCTCTCAAATTGCTTACTAATATATATGGGTTTTATATTTTATGTTCTTTGACAATCATACGAGTTTTGCCACTTTTATTTTACAAGTTTTCACAAATGTAGCACTTTTTTATACAAGTTTTGATCTAAGCACGAACATGTTTTTACTCTGTGTCCATAAGCTCTGAGCATGATGTCACCTGTTTTTGTACTCACGAGCTCTCGGTACCATGTTCTGAGCATGACTTAACTTGTTTTGGTATCCACAAGCTCTCAGAGCCATGCTCTGAGCATGATATAACTTGTTTTTTGTATCGGCTGTCCACAAGCCCTGGGTGAGATCAGGGGATGCCGGTACCATATTTTGGTTACTGTAATCATGCGCTCCAGGAGTGAGAGGGAGCGATCATTTTCCTGATTCGGCGAAAGATTTTCCTTAAAAGTTGTACCTCAAGGGTCTCTCAAATTGCTTACTGATATATATGAGTTTTATATTTTATGTTCTTTGACAATCATACAAGTTTTCACAAATGTAGCACTCTTTTTATACAAGTTTTGATCTAAGCACGAACATGTTTTTACTCTGTGTCCATGAGCTCTGAGCATGATGTAACCTGTTTTTGTATTCACGAGCTCTCTATACAATGCTCTGAGCACGACATAACTTGTGTTGGTATCCACAAGCTCTCGGAGCCATGCTCTGAGCATGATATAACTTGTTTTTGGTATCGGCTGTCCACGAGCCCAGGGCGAGATCAGGGGATGCCGGTACCATATTTTGGTTTCTGTAATCATGCGCTCAAGGCGTGAGAGGGAGTGATAATTTTCCTGATTGGGCGAAAGATTTTCCTTTGAAGTTGGGCATAAAGGACGGAGTGGCGGTTGGCACTGGCAGAGTCTGCTGGGGTTGCGTAAAAACGCCTAGCTGCTCATGTTGATAACCTGCCGGGGTCGACAGGCTCTCCGATCCTTTGTGTCACAGTAAGGGGAACAATATAATTTGTATCGGAACAATATAATTTGTATTCAGCACCGTTCTTTGGTTGATGTGCTTGCTTTGCTGTTTTCTGTGGTGGAATAAAACAACACATTTTACCCTAGCAGAAACAGTGTGTATGTATCTGTGTGTCATCTTTATTACCGACTCATCCCGATCCTGTCTGAATTTCACACTACATTTTCATATAAGGAAATAGAAAAAAAGCCACAAAACCTTTCAATAATTAATTTCCAAAACATTAAAAAATATACCATCTTTCATCAGGAAGTCCATAAACTGTAGTTAAAAGCCTTCAGCTGATCCAAAATGCTGCAGCCAGAGTTCTGATTTCTGAAATTAAAAAAAGAGATCATGTCTCTCATATCCTAGCTTCTCTTCATTGGCTTCCTCTCAAAGCAAGGATATAATTTAAAATCCTCCTCCTCAAACGGCCAAGCTCCATCTTATAGAAATCTGATTGTTCCTTATGTTCCTAACAGAGCACTTTGCTCTCAATCTGCAGGTTTACTAGGTGTTCCTAGAATTTCTTAAAAGTAGAATGGGAGGCAGATCTTTTAGTTATCAGGCTCCTCTCCTGTGGAACGACCTACCAGTTTTAATACGTGGGGCCTTTTAAGGGTGGACTTAAAACTTTACCTTCAGAGGAAAATCAGAGGCAGACCCAGCAGGACGCTGCACTCGTCTGCGATGAAGGCCGACCAACTGCTGCCTGGTACACGAAGCCTGGGCCGACAGCTCCAGGGCTGCATGTGCAGCGGAGCCAAACAACTCTCCAGGAACCACTAGAAGGCCAATCAGGTTTCTTCTACATGCCTCTGTTAGAGGAGACTGAGCCAGACAAACCTGGCGACGTGCCTGAACAAGGGTAGACAAGACACGTCCAATGTCCCTTGACAGAATAGCAAATGCATGGAGAGATGTGTCCATCAGTCCTTGAGTAGGGGCATTGATCGCACCACCTTCCAAAGAAGCTGAGAGACCCAGCAATAAATGCGACAATTACCAAGTCCCTCCAAATATGACCCAGAGTAATAGGCTCTACAGAGCAGCATATCAGTGACACGGTACTGAGGACAAGGACATCTGGCATTAGCTCTCAAAGCCTCTTGTGGCACCACAATGAGGGAAGCTATGGCCATCTCAATAGAAGGCATATGGCCCAAGCCAAAATTGGGCGCATCTTGCATGGCTGCCAGTGCCCTGCAATCAGAGGTTTAGCCGTGAAAAGGCCTTAGTGTCCGCCCAACAGGCATGGACCTCCTGCATACTCTGCAGACGGGGGAACCATAAAGGACGACCTTACAGTAGAACGCCCAAAGAAAGCACTGGAAGCCGCAGGTTGGTCCTGTGCAGTATCCAGCTGCAACGGGGCAAGAGCAGTTCTCAGAGCGCCCACTATTGAACCATCTTCCTCTGACTGAGAGCCAGAAGAGATATGCGAGCTGGTTTCTGAGAGAAGTGAGCCGGCTGCTTATTAGTAATATAGGCAGGCCCGGAAAGGGCTGCCAATAAACAAAATGCAAGCCCGGAAAACGGCTGCTATCAGAAAATATAGGCAAGCCCGAAAGCAGCTGTACAATAAACAAAAAGCCAGCCCGAAAGCGGCCGCACAATAAACAAAAAGGAAGCCCGAAAGTGGCTGCACAATAAACAAAAAGCAAGCCCGAAAGCGGCTGTACAATAAACAAAAAGCAAGCCCGCGAAGGGGCTGTACAGTAAACAAAAAGGCAAGCCCGCGGCTGCCAGTTAATAAGCTGGTTGGAGTTAGCTAACGCCGAAGCATCAGCAACAGGGAATCGCGGTGAGAACGTGTCTCCGCTTGCCGTCGATAAGGAGAGAAATACTTACTGGACAAAGAAACCAAGAAGTGTTAAGAGCTTGTGCTTTTGAGCTTGATTATATAGGCTCACAGGTGCACCGGGGGTCATACGTGACTATGTTGGTTTAAGATTCTCAACCTGTGCATGTGCAAGAGTGATAATTCGTGCTTTAAGCACAGCCTCTGGGGATCAGTAGGGATGAAATAGAACCATTTTTATATCCTTCATTCCTCTAGTTGCTTGGTTGTAGCGGCACTGGACACACACAGTTATAGCAACTGAAACACTTGTTTTATCAGGTGCCAAACCAACTGGGCCAGAATACGTACCTACATTATTTCCTAATCTAAGTTCTCCAACAAGCAAAGGAGGATGTATCCAATGGCCAGATTTGAACACACTCAGTCTCTAAAAAGCAAGAAAGATTAATGCTGATGAAGGAGCAACAAGAAAGACTGGAGAAGACAGAAGGTGAATGCCATTAAACTATTTATTTTAGATCTTTAGTTTGTCTTAAAATATTGAGAAAACATGGAAAAAGATTGTTTTTAATTTACATGAAACCATATAAAGAAGCACATTTTTACAATCCACAAGGTTTTTATTGCTGTTCATTTATTAATTTAGAAGTGATAACAATAATTGAAAACATCCACAGCAGAATATAATGCAAAAAATCAGTTGAATAAAATAGGCGACAGTTACTTTCAATCATAGCAGGTAAATAGAACATCTACAGAATCAAGATCAAAACTATAAGAATTAGTGTAAAGGAAAATTATACTTTAAAAAATTCTTTAAAAAGCAGATACTTCACACTTCTAGAGAAGTGTCAGATTTCTTAAATAAATCATTAAGACAAAGGCTTTTTACCAAGTTAAAGCAGGTTCAAACTGATTAGTAAAAATAACATTAATCTTGTTTATATTTTTAAACAAACATATTTTATCACTTTTGGACTTTTACCTGAACTGCAGACTCCAGCCTCTAAACTGAGTTCTTTGATGTCCCGTAGTTTAACCAAATAATCCCAGCACCCCCTTTCAAGGTGGCTGGAGCTACTTTGCAACATTAATTAGCTTGTAGCTGACTAACTCTGAGACTGACACACACTTATACACTCACCGGCCACTTTATTAGGTACCCCATGCTAGTAACGGGCTGGACCCCCTTTTGCCTTCAGAACTGCCTCAATTTTTTGTGGCATAGATTCAACAAGGTGCTGGAAGCATTCCTCAGGGAGTTTGGTCCATATTGACATGATGGCATCACACAGTTGCCGCAGATTTGTCGGCTGCACATCTATGATGCGAATCTCCCGTTCCACCACATCCCAAAGATGCTCTATTGGATTGAGATCTGGTGACTGTGGAGGCCATTTGAGTACAGTGAACTCATTGTCATGTTCAAGAAACCAGTCTGAGATGATTCCAGCTTTATGACATGGCCCATTATCCTGCTGAAAGTAGCCATCAGAAGTTGGGTACATTGTGGTCATAAAGGGATGGACATGGTCAGCAACAATACTCAGGTAGGCTGTGGCGTTGCAACGATGCACAATTGGTACCAAGGGGCCCAAAGAGTGCCAAGAAAATATTCCCCACACCATGACACCACCACCACCAGCGTGAACCGTTGATACAAGGCAGGATGGATCCATGCTTTCATGTTGTAGATGCCAAATTCTGACCCTACCATCCGAATGTCGCAGCAGAAATCGAGACTCATCAGACCAGGCAACGTTTTTCCAATTTTCTATTGTCCGATTTCGATGAGCTTGTGCAAATTGTAGCCTCAGTTTCCTGTTCTTAGCTGAAAGGAGTGGCACCCGGTGTGGTCTTCTGCTGCTGTAGCCCATCTGCCTCAAAGTTCGACGTACTGTGCGTTCAGAGATGCTCTTCTGCCCACCTTGGTTGTAACGGGTGGTTATTTGAGTCACTGTTGCCCTTCTATCAGCTCGAACCAGTCTGGCCATTCTCCTCTGACCTCTGGCATCAACAAGGCATTTCCGCCCACAGAACTGCCGCTCACTGGATGTTTTTTCTTTTTCGGACCATTCTCTGTAAACCCTAGAGATGGTTGTGCGTGAAAATCCCAGTAGATCAGCAGTTTCTGAAATACTCAGACCAGCCCTTCTGGCACCAACAATCATGCCACGTTCAAAGTCACTCAAATCACCTTTCTTCATAATGATGCTCGGTTTGAACTGCAGGAGATTGTCTTGACCATGTCTACATGCCTAAATGCACTGAGTTGCCGCCATGTGACTGGCTGCTTAGAAATTAAGTGTTAACGAGCAGTTGGACAGGTGTACCTAATATAGTGGTCGGTGAGTGTAAATGTCCCAAATCTTCATCTGAGACTCCTCTACAGAGGATCTACTTCATTCTAATATCCATAATATCCATCCAAATAGCTCCAACACTGTGCCAAAAAATCTTTGGCCATTTAAATCTAACTTACTCAGGCCCAAATAATGAACTTTCAAATATCCACATCCACATATTCATCCAGGACCTTAATATTTACCAGATTTACAATATAACATCTTAGCTGTTCTAGTTTCTATATAAACAGAGCTATTAATTAATGGCTTTCTTAAAACTTTACTAATAAAAGACCATTAACCCGTGAGTTTCTCATGTAATGAGGTGAAGGATTTTCTAGATGGACATTTTATCAGCAGTCAAACATGTAAAACACCTCTACTGTTCATTCCTGTCGCATCTAACTGCTGCGACTTAAGAGAAACAAATTGTCTTATAAAAATATAAATCATTCCACATCATGCTTGAATAAACGTCATCTGAATACTCCGTTATCTTCTCGTTAACTTTTATCACAAATCTTTCAGGAAAACAGCTTCACACCTGTGTGAGTTATCATGTGTCCAGTCAAATTACCTTTTTGAGTAAAACTTTTGCCACAAATCGTGCAGGAAAAAGGTTTCTCACCTGTGTGAATTCTGATGTGTTTAGTCAAACTACTTTTTACAGTAAAATTCTTGTTACAAATGTTACAGGAAAAGGGCTTCTCACCAGTGTGAATTCTCATGTGAGACATCAAAGTACCTTTTTCAGTGAAATTCTTGTTACAAATGGTACAGGAAAAAGGCTTGTCACCTGTGTGAATTATCATGTGAGAAGTCAAATGACTTTTTCCAGTAAAAGTCTTGTTACAAGTGGTACAGGAAAATGGCTTCTCCCCTGAGTGAATTCTCATGTGAAAAGTCAAACTACTTCTTTCAGTAAAATTCTTGCTACAAATGGTACAGAAAAAAGGTTTCTCACCTGAGTGAATTCTGATGTGTGTATCAAGCCTATATTTTCGTGTGAAGCTTTTTCCACAGGATAGACATTCAAAAGGTTTCTTACCAGTGTGGATTGCCATGTGAGAAATCAAACTACCCTTTCCAGTAAAATTATTGTGACAAATGGTACAGGAAAAAGGCTTCTCACCTGTGTGAATTCTGATGTGTCTATCAAGATCAGATTGCTGAGTGAAGCTTTTTCCACAGGACAGACATTCAGAATGCTTATTACCGGTGTGGATTGTCATGTGAGAAATTAAACTACCTTTTTTAGTAAAATTCTTGTTACAAATTGTACAGGAAAAAGGCTTCTCACCTGTGTGAATTCTGATGTGTCCATCAAGACTAGATTTCCAAGTAAAACTTTTTCCACAGGATAGACATTCAAAAGGCTTCTTACCAGTGTGGATTGTCATGTGAGAAATCAAACTACCTTTTTCAGTAAAATTCTTGTTGCAAATGGTACAGGAAAAAAGCTTCTCACCTGTGTGAATTCTGAGGTGTGACTCAATATTAGATTTCTGAGTTAAGCTTTTTCCACAGGAAAGACAGTCAAAAGGTTTCTCACCAGAGTGAATTCTCATGTGAGTTGTCAAACTACTTTTTACGATAAAATTCTTGTTACAAACGGTACACAAAAACGGCTTCTCACCTGTGTGAATTCTGATGTGTCTATCAAGATCAGATTTCTTTTTGAACATTTTTCCGCAGGACAGACATTGATAAATCTTCTTACCTGTATGAGTTCTCATGTGATCCATTAAATGTTCTTTTTTCAGAAAGTTTTCTCCACATGTCAAACATGGGAAAGGTTTCTCTCCCGTATCTTCTGTCTGCTGCTTCAGAACAAGCTGCTCGTCATGCTCACTTATGAGAAGCTCCATGGTTTCCTCTTTTGTCCAGGGATGTACCGGCTTTTGCTGCTGTTCTTTCATCCATGGAGCTTCTGGTTCCAAATCCTCCTCTTTTCCAACATAATCTTGCGGGCAGTCTGGAAAGACAAACACAGCAGAAAGACTTTGTCATTAAGAATCTGTAGGTAATCCATTCAGAAAGATTTTCAAGTTTAGATGATAAATGTAGAAATAACCTTGCCAGATGTAGTACTCTGTGATTGTGATGTCTGAGCTGCATTGCATGCTGGGAGATGTAGTTCCAGTCTGTTTGTATGCACGAATGACAAAAACATGACGACTCATGGGATTAAGTCTTGGTTGATGTGACGAGGCTAAATAGAAATGTTTGCGGGTGGTCGGTCAGATGTTTAAATTGCATCATCTGCTAAGCAGTATCCGCCATGGTGTTGCATCTTGTTTGGTCATGCCACCAACCTAGCGTAAAGCGGTGCACATTCTGCATAAATGGACCATAGATGGACCATGGCAGTGGTGAAAATAAGCCGGAAACGTTTGATGCTGTGCACTCGACTCTGAAAAACTCTGCTGTTCCAGCTTTGCTTTTACAGAAATGCGTCTTTGCGCATGTGTAGCTCAGAGTCTACGTATTATGCTCCACACTAATGGTTTGCTCTCAGCAGTATGGCTCTTCCTGCACTAGCTACTTAATAAAGTATGTGGCTGATCATCATCTGCCAAGCGTAAAAAATCCTTTTGTCTAACTATCAATATCTTTCTATCCATTTGAAAATTTCAAAAATGTTGTAAATATATTGAAATTTAGGTCCGGATTGCAATGGCATTATAAGGCAATTATGTAGGTTCTCTGTGTATTTTTATTTTTTTTTATATCAGACCCCCAGGAATTTTAATCTGCTTTGACCACTGGGCAGCGGTAACCAAGGGGAAAATACTCAGAAATAAAGCCAAATTTGCCAAAGTAGAAAGAATAATGTTTGTTGCTCTTTTGGAGCAATGAAGGTTTTATTGATCTGTGTGTAATGCATAATTCATAGTACACCAGGAAGTGTTTGGTTTTAGAAACCTTGTCAAAAACCATTGCTTTATTGTAAATTTTGTTACCTCGTTTGCTATATTAACCAATTTGATGTATTGATGTAGATCTGCAATTTTCACAACTTTTGTGTGACACTTTTGTATGAAGTAGAGCAGTAATTCATGAAAAGGTATATTTGAATTCTAGGGATGAATTTTTTTCTAAAAAAAAAAAAAAAAAAAAACCTGACTAAAATTAGACTGAAACCTTTTTGAGGTTTAGTTGACTAAAACTGACTAAAACCATCACATATTGTACTTACTAAAATGTAACTATAACTAATAGTTTTCATCTTAAGATGAAAACTAAGGCTAAATCTAAGACAGCTGTCGAAAAACAACACAGGTATTCAGAACAAGCTGCTCTTCATGCTCACCTATGGGGAGCTCCATGGTTTCCTCTTTTGTCCAGGGATGTTCTGGCTTTTGATGCTCTTCTTTTATCTGCAGAGGTTCTGGTTCCTCTTGGTCCAAACGGGAATTGCTCTCCTTTTCAAAGAGCTGCTGGTCAGAGAAATCCTCTTCTTTTCCAACAGAATCCTGCAGGTGGTCTGGAAAGACAAACAAACTGTCCTTGAGTTTGAGTTTGAGTAGCGAGTGGATCCTGTTAAGCAAACCGAAGATATAAAATTCATTCTGGCCTAAATTTGCTTATTAATTAATTAATTATTTTCTGAATACGTTTAAAATAATATAAGATAAAAACTGTCCATTAACAATGCTCCCTCACAAAAAAAAAAAACAAATACTCAGAAGCTCCATGGATCACAAGGGGTTTGCAAAATCCTCTCCAGCAACCTGAAGCTAATAAGTTCATTCTGGCCTAAATTTGTTTCTAGGGCTGGGTACCGAACATCAGTCCTTTTATGGTACCGACCGAAATGCTTCGGTTCTACAGAGTATCGAAACATGCCTCGTCTTTCGGTACCAAGTTTCGGTGATTGGCTGTAACACTTAACGTGACTGCGTCATCCAGGAAAAATACACAGGTGGTCCCGCCTACAGCCAGGGTTCATGTGTATCTGTTGTGAACTGGTTGTGAGCTTCGCGGAACCCCTTTAAAATGCCCCCCAGGTCAAAAGTGTGGCTTCACTTTATTAAGACTGATGCCAATAGTGCGCAATGTAATACATCGTGCACGGAAACAATTTAAGATCAGAAAGATGCTCCGTGTTTGACAGCAAGAAGAGCGGACCGCAGCCGGCGCGACCATCCTCCTCTCAGCAGCCCGTGGGCGGAGCAAAGCCAGAGCGGAGTGAATCATGCTGCTTTCACACCGGATGCAGCAAGAGCAGCAAAATCACGTCTGCTGCTTCCTTTTTGCTGCTTGTACCAGCTTCTGACGCGCGGCTGAAGCAGCTTTGCTGCTCTGGCTGCGCGGTGCAAAAGTGTGTCTGACGCGCGTTGGGCGGAGCTACTCTATCCTTTATTTGCTGTGATCAGTGGGAATAAAGTAGTTTTATTATGTTTTTAAGTGGGAAAATCCACCTGAAAACTTAATCAGTGCAGTCAGTTCATCCAGATTAACATCTTGCCTTCATATATTTCTGTCGGAGCCGTTCAGACTCTCACATACCAGCGGTGCGCTGTCAGTAGGATCCCATTCAACGGGCTTGTTTGTCTCCTGAGAAAGCAGACATGTTAATTTTTCTAAAGAAAAACTGCTAAGTAATGAAGTGAATAGTGAATATTAGACACTGACTTGTCTGCAACTGTTCTTCTTCACTGAAATTTTTTTTTTTATGTAAGAGGAAAAATGTAAATAGAAAAATCAGAGTACTTTACGCAATCACATTGTAATCAGAGTACAATCACAGTACTTTATTATGTGGTGGAATTTTCTTTTTCTTGGAATTGATATTATAAAACTGGTATCGAAAAAAGTATCGTTCAGGAACCGGTATCGAAGTGAAGGTATCGGTATTGGTACTAGGGTTGTCACGATACTAAACTTTTCAACTCGATACCGATACTAAGTAAAATATTCGATACTCGATGTTATTTTCGATACCAAAAGAATAAAAACAAAGACTCCAAAATTCAACAGAATTTTTTTTAATTATTAAACGAAATACAATAAATAGATAAATAAATACAATAAACAATATTTTGAGGTTGTATGCTGTGCACAATATTAAGCAAGCTTGATAAAAAACTTACAAAATTAAAATGAAGTGTTCCTTCCTTGGCTATGCTTTGCACACAGAACAATGACACTAGCCAAACCGGTTAAGAAACAAAAATAATTCTCAGCAGCTGCACCTGTTACAGAAAAAAAGTCTGAAACCGAAAAGTGCACAGAATTATTCAATCACACAGTGGTCAGAAAGTGCATTTTCCTTTCATCTGCGCATAAAATGAATGACTGTTTAGGTGCCACTGATGGTGGCACTGTATCGATACTTTTTAAAATGAGTATTGTATCCGGATACAACTTTTCAGTATCGATACTTTTTTGAGTATTGATACTTTTGACAACCCTAATTGGTACCGGTACCAAAACTTTTTGACCAATACCCAGCCCTATTTGTTTCCACATAAAAAATTTGAGAAATAAAAGTATTTACATCCAACACCACAATGTCTGTCTGGCAAATGAAGTAATGTGACACCCTAGCCTCAGCAGAGCTTCCTGTACACCTCTGCCTGAAAGAGACAGACCCCTGCTGAACGTATCAAAGTCTGAGCTGATTTTAAATGTTTTCAAATGAAATGTTCCCTGTTCTATTTTATTGAAAAGAAGCATAATGGTAAGAAAGAGAAAAACAAATGCCTAAATGATAAAGCCATCTGTAGCAGCTTCCTCATTTTTACAAAAAATGTAGCCATCACCGTGGTGATGTTTAGAATCCCGTTCCCAGCACCAGCCCTAAAGAGAATCCAGCCTTGGAGGATTTTGAGGAGATAAGGAAAGCACTGGATTTCCTTTTTGGAGAAAACTCTGCCATTCGGCTCAAGCAAAAGTCCATTCTGGATCTGGTTGAAGAGATAAAGGCTTTGTGACTGCTGAATGACATAAAGAAAAAACTGATTGTAGTTTTTGGAAGATAGAGTGGCTGACTTGGAACAGTACACCAGAATGAATGATGTGATCATCACCGTGTTTCAAGCCCCGCTTTTATGCCAGTGTGTTTGCAGGGCCTTGTCCGGTTGGTGAGCCGTCACCCGATGAGATAAAGTCCACTGAAGAACAGGTGACCTCTTTCCTCTTGTCGAAGGGGATAAAGCTCGAATGTACCTCTGTTCAAGCGTGCCATGAGGTTCATCATGAGGTTCATTAACCGGAAACAAAAAAAAAAATGCTCGGCTTTAACAGGGAAATCTGCTTAATAGGTAAGCAGAACATCGACATTGTGAGGAAAGCCGGGTTCCTGAGGAAGCAGAAGGAGATCCAGTCCACATGGACCACAAAATGTAAGGTATTCATCAAGCTGAATGGAACACCGGAGGAGGCGAAGGTTCTGGTCATTCAGGACATCACAGAGGTGGATAAATATGACTGAACTCTTCAAGGAACATTTGGAGCACAGCTGATATCATGCACAACTCGCTGTCACCATGTCACAAGTTACAGCAACTGTTTCTTCGCCGCTTTAAGTTTATATGCACACTTCAACAACATAGAAGACTGTCTGAAACAGTTTAAACAGCCATTTAGCATCATGACCATCTGTAGAAGGTAGTGAGGATGGGTGGGGGCAGGTGGGCTCTCCTCAACCTCCACAAGAAGTTAATGCCCTTTTGATCAGTGAGGTGGTGTTTACAGTGCAGGTGAGGGAGTCTGATGTGCACCCCCAGGAATTTGGTGCTGCTGACCACCTCTACAGCTGAGCTGTTAATGACCAGTGGAGCGTGGTTAGGACGGTTCTTCCTGACGTTAACAATGATCTCCTTCATCTTCTCCACGTTCAGGATCAGGCTGTTATCTTTGCACCAGTCCACCAGCTGCTCCACCTCCTCTCTGTAGTCCAGGTCGTTGTTGTCTCTGGCCCACCACCGTGGTGTCGTCTGCAAACTTCACCATGTGATTGGTGGTGAAACTGGGGACGCAGTCATGTGTCATCAGGGTGACAGCAGGGGGCTCAGGACGCAGCCCTGAGGGGAGCCTGTGCTTAGACTGATGACATCAGAGGTGTTGTGTCCAACCCGGAGTGACTGAGATCTGATGGTGAGGAAGTCTAGCAGCCAATTGCGCAGGGGTGTATTGAAGCCCAGATGTTCCAGTTTGCCCATCAGCTGCTGTGGGATGATGGTGTTCAAAGCTGAACTGAAGTTCAGGAACAGCATCCGCACATGGGTGTTCTTCTCCTCCAGGTGTGCCAGGCTCAGTGGAGCGGTTTCGTCGGTAGGTGAACTGAAACAGGTCGAATGTTGGCGGTGTGACGATGTGTTCTTTAAAGGGATAGTTCGGTATTTTTGACATGAATCTGTATGGCATCCCGATCACCAGCGGCATGCAATCACACTGACTTACCCCTGGCAGCGTCCTGTGAGCAGAGTTATCGTCCAGTTTTGGTCAAGCCGAAAGTAGTCCTGCAGGTTTTTAGGTACAGCGAAATAAAACGTTTCTCTTCCCAAAACATTATGTGTCCAAAAGAGTGATATTTTCGCATCCCAAAAACATTGTAGTGGAAAAAGTCACACGTCGTTATCAATTGGTCCTATTTTCTCTCTGTTCGTATCAGTGCGCGCCGTCATTCAGACAGCGAGCCCAACAACAGCCATGTCTCCTTCCGCGGCGGAGGGAGACATGGCTGTGGTTCGGCTTCGCTGATCTAAGCGTTATAGCCTTAGCCCCTCCAGGCTAATAGGATTGTCCAGTATTCCTGGATGCAGCTATGACTCTGTCAGAATGATGGCGCAGCAGTTACATCTCTTCTTTCTTGAAGACAGTTCCAGTCAGATATCATACAATTTGTTTTCCTGTGAGCGGACGTTGGAGAGCAGGATTGATGGAAGCGGAGGTCTGGGGGGATTTCTCTTTAGCTTTGCAGTTAGCCCCCCTCTGCATCCTCGCTTTCTCCGTCTTGCACATCTCTTCCTCCGGCAGTTACGTTCCGCTGTTTTTTTGTTTACATCCGTCCGTAGTACTCTGCAGGTTTTTAAACGGTCAAAAATGTCTAGATTTAAAACATTTTGTGACTAAACTCCAGCATGCGTTGACATCATAGATCATAGATGTGGGTTTGATGTCTAGTCTGTATAGTATTAAGCGGCATATTAGGAGCCGTTCTTGGCCGCTGCTTTGGAGCGCCTCCATGGCAACTGTGCAATGACACTGTACATTAGCATTAGTCTGTTTAAAAAAAAAAGGGGGGCAGACTGATGTTTTTCAACATGTACTGGGATGAGGAGGGGAGGTGAATGACATAGCAGTACCAAGTCACTGCAACTTCAGGAAAAAGGAACGTAAGAAACTAGACCTGGAGAAAACCTGGAAGGTCAAGGCATCAGTGGTGCCTGTGGTCATTGGGGCACTCGGGGCAGTGACCTCCAAAATTGAGGTGTGGTAACAGCAGATCCCTGGAAATACATCAGACATCACAGTCCA